TTATTCTAGAAACTTCATTATGTTATTGTGTTTCATGAGGTATTGATTATAAGAGAATTCTATTCTCTTTTAGATAATATTGATTGAAGTGTTCACCATCTTGATTTGATTGAAGTATTTTAATACTGTTTTACTTTGTTTTTTAACTTCATTTCTGATTTTTTTAAACCTTTTAAATGATTCTGACTTTTATCTAATATACATAATCATATCCAATATGGTCATCAATGATAAAACATGTATATTCATTTAGGACATAAAATTAATTTATTAGATATTTCACACTTTTAGTGAAGGGTGTTTTGATTATCTTACCCAATAAATAAGCTATACAAGTATCATATGATTTAGAATAAAAAAGACAAAATATCATATTTCATGTGACTTAATTGTTCTTGTTTCATTGATATATCCTAGCCTACGATGTTATAAATAACATGGAGTTTGATTATCTAATTTGTTCTTGCTATTTATATTGAAAATGAGCATTTCAAGATCAAGTATATACAAACTAGTTATACAAGTACCAAATCTATAATAAACATCATTATTATAAAATGAATAACATTTATCTTTAATAATAAATTTAAATACAATAAAGAATAGATATGATGTTTCTAGAAAGTGCCAGAATAAAATAAAAGTTATCAAGTTCTAATATCAACTTATTTAACAAAGTTAATACAACAAGTTTTACTCCATTATCCATATATACAACTAATTTACCTTTATTTAATAAATAAACGTACCTGAAGTATAAGCTTCTTAGCTTAATAGTTGCAAGATAATATTTGTTTTATTTTACCTTATCATTCTTAATGTCTCGGGTAGGCTTCTATGCTTAGACTACGAGACCAAGTCAATACTTAACTCATGGTCTATGAAAAACCCAATTAATTTAATTTTTTAAAATAGTCAATCATCATTAGCACATAGGTGTTCATCGAGAAACCTTTTATCATTTTGCAGTGGAATAATTCCTTAAAAGTCTTATACCTCTTAATTATACTAACTGCACCAAAAACCTCTTTAAGATGCATAATTATTATATTCTCATGTTGTATTAGAAGTTCAAGTGACATACTGGTTATTATCATATATGTAGCATACCTATTATTATTAATATGAAGTTGATATCTGGCCCTAACTTCATTATCAACGTTCTCATCAAAGAAAAAAGAAATTAAATTTCCAAGAATATATAATAATTTATCATGTTTAAGAACAATTCTTATATTTGGTCCTAATCCAAGAAGTTTGGTTTAGTTAATTTATCAGCATCATATATGCTACGCATGGATATTTATTTTTATTCATAGTAATCTATCAACCTATTCACTCAAATATAACGAGTATTGGTTTCATGCATAAATATTTATAACTAAACTTGTATAAGGTCTTCAATTATAATTTGGTTTCTAAAAGTTTTGTTATAAATTAATAGCCTTCACTACTAATTCAGGAAATCTCACTTAGATCTCCTAATAGGCTAGGATCTCATTTAATTTATCTAACCTTTAGTATCTCAACAAGTTAAATTAAATTAGATTAAATGGATAATATAGTTTATCAATCGCATCTTTATATGACTCCTATATAGTTATGTGACAACTTTTTCTTTAAACATATTATATATGTTTCACCTAACTATTGTCTTTAATCTTATATGATCACATATGACTCATCCAAATCATATAAGTTAGTTAAGTAAAACTCAATTTTATAGCATTAAATATATTCAATTAATGATAACCTTAAATAGCTCAACAAGTTATCTATGAATAAAACTTTGGTTTTATGCATATAAAATCAGAAGGCAACAAATCATGTTCTCAACATGTATTTAATATATTAATGAAAGATTTATTATTTAAATAAAGTCTCATTCTATTGTATTGGTTATACATCATACATAACAATTATATATAAACATATACTCCTAATATGATATTCTAATTGGATAATTATGAACATATCTAAAATAATTCTCTCAAGTCATAAAAGGGAATTACGAGGTCAAAACCTAGATAGCTATTATAAATCTTTATAAGTCCTTTGCGAGCACCATGATTGTATAATTCATTGTCTTTCTTTCTTCAACTAGGATTACAAAATATATTCTTTTATCTAAATTTATACATTTCTAAATTACATAATATTTACATAATTTAATAAGAAATCTTGAATTACATTAGAGGGGAATAGTAAGAAAAGAATTTTACAACCTAGGAAAAAAATAGAAAAATCAAAACATATAAACCCTATTTAATATTACAATTTAATTTAGGATTTTATTTTAAAATATAAATTTAATATTTTATATATGGATGGGAAAATCATAATTCTGCCTTAAAACCTTAATAATCTATTATGGGGGTAGAATCATAATTCTGCCCCATCATCTTCATGATGCCAACATATTGCTGGTAGTTGTTATAGCTAATGTAGCCAGCATGGGCTTCCCATGCCAGCACAACCTTTAGCAGTGATAGTAATGCTACCACTGCACCAACTACGCCAGGAGACTCTTGCCTCGCGTTGCTCCACCTACAACGCTACCAGCAACATCGTGGTTGTTGGCAAAGCCAAGGAAAGCTGGCCATGATCGGCAGTGTTGGCAGTGTTGTAGTCATTAAAAAACTTTTTTTTTTAATTTACAGCGAGATTAAAAAAATCCAGCTGGATTTGAAAACCATAAGAGGTTATTTTAGAAAAAAATAATTTTTGTATATAAAATTAATTTATAATTATCACCAACAACAATTAAAACAGTTAATTATTAACTCTAATCATTTAATGATGATTTTGATATCATTGTTAAGTTTTTCAAAATACATATATATATATATATATATATATATCAAAAATATTAAATTTAATCTTTTTTGAGTCTTATAAATCTTGTTAAATATATTTAGAGTTATTTCAAATTTATATAAATATTATATAAAGATCATATGCTTTGCTTTTTTTGCTTTGAATAATTACTTCAAGGTTGAGTTATCACAAACTACAAGTATTTCAAATATCCAACTTCTAATAGTAATTCACACAAAATACTAATAAAAAAAATCTTATAATTTTTTTTTAGGAGAGAGAGATTGCTATCCTTTTAAATATTATCTCTTTCTTTCTTTCTTTCCTTTTGTATTTTTTAGGTATTATGTAACTTATATAATCTTTCTCTTTGTGCTAAAAAATAAAAGGTATATAATTTTATTTATAAAAAAAACTTGAAAACTCTATAAATAAATAAAATATCATTTTCCCCTCAATAATATCACATTATTTCAGTACAATTTTATAAATTTATTCAATCAAGTCTCCATTTAATTTTTTTTTTAAATTAGAATTGTAATTCCATGTATTAATTGTATTCTAGTTCCTAATTTTTAAAACTTATTTACAATCAAGTTATATTTGATTAATTATTTTACATTAATTTCTGACCAATTATTTTTATATGTGTGACCTATGAGTTTCCTATTAAGTTGAACCAAATATAAATCACAATCCTAAATAAAATAAAATAAAATTAATTAATTTATTATTTGATTGCTTTATATTTGAAGATCAAGTATAATATCTAATATCATGTCATGATCTCTAAAATATTAAAAAATTCATAAGTGATTTGACTTAACATTTTAATAACCAGTTTTTCAGTGTAATTATTATCCATTCACCAATAATGTTTTAATTTAGACATTATAGCTTGAAATGTATCTACTCTGTCACATTATTTTTATTCTCTACACCCTAAATATTGATTTTTTGAATAAAAATTGAAACTCTTTTCAAATCTCATTACATCTTACCCAAAGATTTACAATCAATACTAATTAAGAACATATTGAATATTTTTTCTAATTTATGTAGGGTGATGAATCATATCTTAATTACTCAAATACCTTTATATAGCTCATGGTATATCTTAATTACTTAAATACCTTCATATAACTCATGGTGTACATAATATATGCTCATTTGCTACTCTTGATTAAGATAACGTGCAGTAGGATCAAAACATAATATTTCTATATAAAATAACTTAGTGATCTTAAGTTTAAAGATTACTTACACAACCATTATGTGAACACTTTTATAAACACAAATGATCTATTTATATGTAATTCTCATGCAGATCGGTTCAATATATATGTCATCTAAAAAGCATATGCATATTAATTCTAGGTATCTCTTATACCTCAACTTATAAAAACAAATGTTTCTTTTCATAAAAAAAAAAGAATGTAATATGTATTAATCTCAACGATTCTAATTAATGTTTGGTTTTAATAAAATGTTGTCCAAAAACATTTAGAAACAATACTTTGATGTAATATGAATTCTATAATTATAACAATTTTATACTTTGTAAAATATTTGTTTTTTAAGGACTTTATCTTTACTCTAAATTTATTAATCAAATTGGATAAATATTAAAAATTAAATAAAATTTTATTAAAAATTAAATATGTTAATATAAATAAAATTAATAATAAATATAATTAATTGACTACATGATATACCCACTAACAAATAACTTTAGCATTGGTAGACAAGCTTGATCTCATCTCATCATCTCCAGGACTTTGATACCAATCTACTCTGTCAAAACTAGAAAGAAAATTATAATCTCCGTCATTACATTCAACTGTTTTATAGTGCAATCTATTGCTCTCACCAAGCCTTGTAGTGGATTACAATGATTACTTGAGCTTGGCATGTTTAGATAAGCGAAACAAGGCATGTTCAAATTCATGTTCTTATTGCCACAGCTATAGTCTTATCATTTGCAGTTGACTGCTAAATTACAATTTTTTCCATCAATGTTATGAATGATTATTATCCATGGGAGAAATTGGTTCTCTAATGGAATACAGGCAACAGAGAATGGGACTTTAAGACCACGTTCATATCTATGGTGCTTGTAGTAGGTTCTACTGCAACCATCATAAAAAAAAAAAAAAAAAAAAAAAAAAAAAAAAAAAAAAAAAAAAAAAAAAAAAAAACACCCTCTAGGATATTTCAAGGAGGCATATGGTTTCCAGGTAAAGATCTATGTACTCAAGATTCCACCCTGAACTCTGACTGATGTTATGCATCCATAATCAATAGATCGTTCCACTGCCATCAATCCCTTTAAGGCCATAAAGCCGGCAAATTGAAGATCTCTATCTATTGATGTTCTCCACCTGATCAAGCTTCTTGGCAGTGCAGACCCTCTCACCATACAGCCGTCTAATAGCGCCAACACCTTGAAATATCCGATCAATGCATTCAGATACTTTAAGCAAAGCAGTCATGGTCTAGTTATAGTTTTACCCTTTTAATGTAATTTCTCCAACTGAAATGATGCATGATGTGTGCTCAATTGCGCTAGCGAAGAAGACTTCCCTTATTATAGTTCATTTCCACAAGAGATTCCAAGCCAGTGTGAAGTAGCTTCTCAAAGAAAGGCTATCAAGACTAAAAACAGCAATGCCCTTGACAAGGCACCATTGCACAGTAGTAATCCTTGTTGACCATGGGATCCTGAATACCTCAAGACCTAGCTTATAGAGCTGGTCTTCTTATTGGATTTCTGTTCTCTTCTTGGCCAGACCTGATGGTAGGGAGGCTTTGGCTATAGGAGCACGGATGGCTAGACATCTCAACATCAAATGTGACAATTAGACAGCTCCTTGAGAACGGAACATTTCCAATGATCGAGCATGTGAAAAGAGGCTTGGCAACAAAGTGGTGAGAGCATTTAGAACTGCTGTCGTAGGAAATTATCTGATCATGTACCAATGGAGGTGGTGATGGTGGTTGGGACAGGAACTATTTATGTGATTAGATCAATGGAGGACTGTTTTGAACTAGTAGTGCGAACATGGAAGGTATCATGACAGCAGATCATCAGTTTTATCAGGCTCACGAATTGGAACAAGGACAAAGATTTGGACACTATTAGCTCTCTATTGGCTTCAGCATCATTCAGGGGCACGACCACCGTCTTCATGGTGCAACAACATGCCAACGTAGTAAATGAAGGCCATGGGAGTAGTGACAGTAACTGTGGAGTTGGAATCTGCACAGGATATGTCATCTCAGATGTAAATATGCATGGATCCTCCAGAAGAATGCTGACTTGAGATCTGTATGCTACAAATGCCAGTTGAACACTTAAAGAAACAAAACTATAATAGTAGAAATGTTTTAGATTGAACCTTGGACTACTTTGAACCCTGATGGTTGTTGCCTTCCGATACAGCCAATTAATCTTGCAAATTTGATCTTAGCTGTAGGAACACTAGCAAGAAACACATGTTGCAGGTCTTATGGTTGTTGTCCACTGTCCATACCAAGGAGTCCAACTTTTCACATGAATTTTTACTATGATCATTTCAATGATTTGCTGCAATGCTTCCAAGAATCATTGCCGAAATCTATACTGATCACACATTCTTGTGACAGGGCTTGAAGCAAGTGCAAGATAGGTTCTGGGTTTGAAGAAGAAGAAGAAAAGGCCAAAAGCTTAGTGCATATGACCTGCAACATTGAAGGTGAGTTACCTCGAATTTGTTTTGCATGTTCCACTGCAATTGGAACCTCTTCAGAGTCAGCTAAACATTTCAACAAAACCACATGGGCATCTGAATGACTTACGTCATGAGTGAGGCCACACAGAAACTTAGATGCAACAAGGAAGTGACCTGCATAGCACACCTATGCATTAAGTAAAGCTTCAAATGTGTTTAACAGCAGAGATCACAATGCAGCAAGAGAGAAAGACCACTTCAAGTGAAAAATCAATTTAAGAAGTAATTGTTATGTATAAAAGATAGCTATCCCACAAATTGTGTACTACATAGATAAGCTGGTTAAAACCACATGCATACCTTTTCCGCAGAGGTTTAGAATCAATGTCTTCAATATATTTTGTGCAAGCATTACATCGTGATTCACATGCTTGTAGAAGATATCAACTGCAGTTTCAAACTTTGTTTCTTGGCAAAGGGCTTCAAGGAGGAATCTGTGAGTTGTAGCATCAGGTGTCACCCCTTTCTCCAACATGTGATTGAAAAGCCTCGTAGCCTCTTCAATTTGACCTATTTCTGAGAATTTCCCAATAAGAATATTGTAAGTTTTCAAGTTCCCTCCACATCCGATTACAAACATTTCATCCCAAAGCCTTTTAGCAGGACGCAACAGATCTTCTCTACATAACACTTCAATTAGGGAATTATACATTGAGATATCTGGGTCTAACCCTTTCTTTCTCATCTCTTGAAGCACCTCATAAGCCTCTCTCACTCTTCCACTCATGCATAGGAACGAAAACATCACATTGTAACTCTCCATATCAGAGAAATATTCATTAGAAGACAAAACACGGTATACCTCCAACAACTCATCAATCTTCCCATGCTTACAAAGATTCCTACTCAAATTGCTCAACGTTAAAAGCGTTGGGAACTTCCCTTTTCCAATAACAAAATGAAAAAACTTCATTGCCGAATAAGGATCAATTGTCGACACTGATCCTATCAGTGCATTCAAAACATCGTCTTCCATAGGAAAGTTGCCACTCGCAATAACTTCGCCTAATTCTTTTGCTTCATATATCCGTCTTTCAGTAATCAAACCCAAAATAAACTCTCTGTAATCATTACTCCTCGGTGCCACTCCTAACTTCCTCTTCATCTTCAAAACCTCGTTCACGTCAAAAACGCTTCCAAGCGATCTAAATGCTTCGGCAACAACCCTATATGCGATAAAATCAGGTTTCCACCCCCTAATTCTCAACTCATTCAATGCCCGCAAAGCCTCGCTTGTTCTTGAACCCTCACAAAGCCCATGAACAATTAAAACCGCAATAACGGACCCATTAATAAAGGAATTACACCTTTCAACCACATCTACCAAGCGCAAAACTTCACCCAAATCGCCATTTCTACAAAGCCTCCATATAAATACACCAAACCCAATAGTACTAAAGCCAATACCTCTGTTATTCATTTCATCAAACACCTTCATTGCATTGGTGAAACACCCATCAGACCCCAAAGAAGCCAAAAGAGAGTTACTTGTCTCAGTCCCAAGATCTAAACTTTGTGATTTAATCTCGTTAAAAACCGAAAATGCCATCTGGGTTTTTCCTCTTTTAATCAAAGAATCAATAACAAATCGATAAATTGAAGAATCGAGAGTCAGGTTTTGAGCTTTGGTTTGCTTTACCAGTGATTCAATGGCATTGAATTGGCGGGAGAAAGAAAGAGATTTGAGTACTGAATGGTAAGTAAGTGAATTATGAGTGAACCCGGGTTGTTGCGAAGCCCAATTGAAGAAACCCAGAGCAAGAGAGTGGTGAGTTAAGAGATGTGGGTCGATGACTCGAGCCACGAGTGACTGACTCAGTGAGTCGCGACAACCGATTTTGTGTAGAGTTTGCTCGAGTAATGGATTCCATGAACGGGTCGGGATTGAGCGATTTGACTCGGTGATTAGAGCTCTGCTTATCCGAGCTGCTAACTCCGTTCCCAAGCGCGCCATTCTTTTTCAAGTTTTGAGGAAGCAATGAAAACTGTAAAGGCATCTATTGCAAAACGCAGAGTTTTTGTCCCGCCCAAGTTTTTTTTCCCCTTCAAAAACCTTTCTTTTTTTAAAGACACTCTTAGTCTCTTATGTTGAGATTAGAAGTTAAAACATGATTGATCATCAATTTTAAAATCCATATATTTGAACTCAAATTGATTAAGATGTTTTTATATAAATACATGCATTATATATATATATATATATGTATAAATTAACTTGGATTTGATATACACACACACGTGTTCTTGAAATATGAAAGACCATCGATTGTAAAATCAATATATTTGGGTTCACATCGATGGTTAAGATTTGAATTCACATCATGGTGGGCATTTTTATTTAAATACATGTATAACATATTGTAGGATTATAGATTATATATAAAAGAGGTAGGGTTATAAATACCGATGTCTAAAATAAGAAAAAGTAATGTAAGGATGGAGGTTTTTCCGAAAATTGAAAGCCAAGAAAACACATGATCCAACAATCAACAATGCCCTCTCAATCACAAATGGAGTACAAACATCTATTTGAAATATTCACACCATTTTCTTCTATTATATGCACAAACTCGCAGATTCTGTACAATCCATGTACGCACTATCAAACGCATATTACATAATGTACACGTATATACAAAGGACCATCCATCCATCATAATAGTGGTTTCTGAGCTACTTCTATACAAGTATATCATCATATGGTATAAACACTGACTAAGCCCTCTGGAAAAAGGGCAGAAGATGCCTACTTACAATGTTTCTTGATCTCAATGTACCTTCTTTTGTGGGTTTGAACATCAAATCATTCTGCACAGATATATACCCATGGGAATTTAGACAAAGAAATTACGAGTAGGATCTAATCAACTTGAATGTTCGAGCTTTAAAGAGGTTCCCAAAGATGTATCCCATTGTTGTTTCCTGGGGAGGCTTTGGGGAAAGAATAGAGTTGCGTTTTACTTGCAGCTTGGTTTGTCCAATCTGTCTACAAATTGAATCGATGATCTTGGGGTCGACTGGGTTACCAGTGACGTCCGTGACATAGAATGTGTCTTTGGCTTTACCACCTTTTGTCAAGATTTCTGCTCTCTTAATACACAAACTGTTTTCTCGGAATATCCTGGTAATGTCTGAGAGGAGTCCAACACGATCCTCTGTGCACAATTCCAGCTCCAGTCCCTGCACGGCCAAGTAAGATATAAACAATGACAAGCATGCCTACCATGGTCAAAACTAGCAAATTACATCAGAACGGTAAATTATTACCTCAGAAGCTCGCCTTTCAATGGCAGCTTCAAGACACTGTACTACACGTTCTCGCTCAGCATCTGAGCTTACAGGGAGTCCATCAACATGTCGAATATAGAATTCCTACAACCATGCAAAATTTTGATCTTTAAATAGAATTTCTTGACACGTCAAAAGGAAAACAGGAAATGGAGTGCAAAATTTAGCAGTGTCGTTAAGCTCAATTAACTTGATTGGAACTATGCTCAGCTCTACAATCGAAATTTTTATAGGTTCACAAATTGACCACCTGATGAAATGGCTGCTAAATTGCCATTCCAGAAAGCAAGTGTTTCCAGGTTTAATTATCATTCAAGAAAACCCTTTTAAAATTTTAACTAAACTCATCTTACCTGATAAGCTTCCATTCTTCCTGTGCTGACCATTCCATGAAAGACAACATATTCCATGTCTGTTAAAGTGCAAACAATGTCGAACAATAGTTTGGGGCGATCCTTTGACCTCATAGAAACGACGGTGTAATCTCTCTCAATATTCAACACTGTTACATGGGGTCTTGAACTCTTATCTTCAAATCTCGCTAATCCTGCTCTTTCAACTCTTTCATAGTCCCTGTCTGCAAACATTATCTGATGCAATCTTCTTTCCCTACTTGTTACCCCAGGGGGTGAAAGAGTCATAGTTGCTGTCTTTGAATCATCATTTCCCTTGAGAACATTGCAAAGCAATTCCCTGATGGTCGAGAGTCGTTTTGGATCTTTAATTGCACACCCTGTGGAATCATCTGTGACATGAACTACAGCAGCAGCCCTAGTGTTATGGGTCCATATCTCAGCATTTACCACATTGCAGTGGAGGTCTGTGAGAACCGCACATACTTCAGACAATAAACCAGGCCTGTCAGTACCAGTAAGCTCAATTGCAGTATGCTCTTCAGAAGGCATCACCCCAACAGACCCTCTCAACGATGGTGCAAAGCTGGCATTGCTTTCAAGTCTCTGTGGAATCAAAAAGTAACAAGATACATGAAACAAAAGATGAGCTCTGCTCACATTGTAGTTTATCAAGGGAAAAAAATGGTAGCAAAAACACAGTGGAAAAGGAACGCAACATGTGCATTTTGTAATCATAAACGTTCATTAAAGAAAATTATGGACAATTATCTTTTCTGACTTATCCCCTACAGTCAAAATGAATAAGAAATCTTTCTTTAGCAAACTGTAATCTGACTTTAACAGTCTCAAAAAAGACTCGGGATTTAATCTCAACCAAGGTTGGCATGATTTTTCCCAAGTTCCATTTGCATTGATATTATTAACAGGTGCATTTTATTCAAAACATCATCAAACTGATGCAGACATGCCCCTGCCATCATGAGAACGAAACACGACATGATACCAGTGCTGAGGGCTACAAAGGAAAACAAACATTTTGTTTCATGAGAATTCTTGGTAAACCATTTCCTTTTATGTTGATGAAATCAGGGGCAAGCAGAGTAAAATTCTATATCTGAAAATTTTGATTATTTGAGACCAAAGAGAAACAATTTTTCTGTTTTCTGTTTCTATACGACTCGATCAGTTGCAAGCATTCAGACTAGTTTTCTGTTTCTTTAGCCTGATATCTCAGGGATCAAATGACAGTATGCAAATATAAGATACAGCAGTAACATATAACCCTTACTCGTTGAATATAATCCATAACTTCCTTATCTCTGATTTTCTTCCCATCTTGGTCGACCACATTAAACACTGAAATAGATGAAAAATAAATAAATATTACAAACAAAATAAGACTCTTTTGAACCTTGTTGCTTTCTGAGAGATTGCAAAAGAAACCTTACCATCCATAAACCAATCCCCGTCAGATGATATGTATGCTTTTGTTATCACAAGGTTCATGTCCGTAAGCACTTGTACAACTTTGAGGAGTATTCCATGCTTGTTAACACTATCAACCTGAATAGAAAAATCAATTCTTAAGAAATTACACAAAATAGTTATTTTTCTCAAATTAAACCAAGCCCAGATAGTTAAAAATTAACTAATTATCTCATAAAATCAATTAATTTAAGGAACTTACTCAGGAAGTCACAAACCGTATTCTTGTTCAACGTGGTTTTTCTAAACCAATAACAGAATTATGAGAAGTACACAAACTTTACCTGGATAACAGTGGCATCCTCAGAAGCATCATTGTCAATCACAACTCTGCAACAGTAGAGAAAATTAAAAATCTTCATAGTATTCAACAAAAAAAAACAGAAGGAGAAGAAGAAACCCACATCTCACTCTTAATGTCTCAAATTTGCTCAATTTGAATGGAATTGCTTAGTTTTGAAAAAGGGGGTGGGGATTTCAAGGCTCTATTCAATTCCCAAGAAAATTGGAGAAAATAAAGGGAAAAGAAAATTATGTTAAGCAAACAAAATTACTACTGTTTAGGAGATCTTTTTTTTCTCTTTCAAAATCCACAAATATGATATATGTCAAGTCATAATTCAACATAAAACATTTGATTTTTGTATTTCATTTCTATTCTTGATCACTTCTCTTCAAAGCAACAAAACAAAGAAAGAAATTGGAGGAAAAGATTAATAAAAAAGGAATAACTTGCAAAGAGTGTAAACTTCTCTCTAAAGTCATCTTCAAGCAAAAACTGTCCATTTCGTATATAGACCAAACAACCAAAAACAAAATCCATAGAACATAGAAAATTTACCCAAAAAATAAGCAAGTACCTTGGTGGGTTCAATCTCCTGATTAGCTTAGCATACTCATCATCCATTTTGCTTTCAAAATCTCCCCAAAAAAAAATTATATAAAAAAATCACAACCCTCAATCTATAAGAAAAACAATTTCAAGCTTAACCCAACAAGAAAACCTTTAAGAAAAAACTACAGAAATATGTTCCTCCAATATCCAAGGAAAAAAAAAAAATTCAGACATGAGCTGGAAATAGATAGAGAGAGAGAAAGAGAATTCTAGCCATCAGGGCAACGACCTTCCTTTTTAACTATCTTTTGTGACCGTTTATTTTTTTTCCAGGATTAGTATTTGAACGACGTGTCCGTTTCTTATTGGGTAAATTAACGGCTTCCTGCTGCCCGCGGTCAGAGAGGCTGAGAACTCGGAGCTATTTGTTTCAGTGGTGTCACTGTGCTTTAAAATATTTAAGATTTTTTTATTTTTAATATTTTTTTATAATGGTATTAAAATAAAAATTTTATTTAACACATTACTAAATAAATAAAAAGCATCCTTATACTGTCTGCGTGGCGTGTTGTTATTTCTGCGAAGTGCTGTTACTTTTGTTAACTGTTCCTGTGTGCGTGGCGTTTGTTTTTTTATTTTTCTGGGTCTTACAATAATTAATGACATCATTTTTCTTAATCAAGGAAGTGAGTGTTTCTGTCCGTACGACGAGATGGTGACGTGGTTAGAGTGCACGTGGCGAGTGCAAGTTGGGTGGGTGTTTTTGCCGGTTATTTTGGCGGCAATTCCAGCGTGATCGCCTGGTATTGGAGCCCACGTTATTCATATGCCTCCAACCGTTTACCTTTCCTCGTAGCATATAACGGTGTTTCAAAGTTTTCCTTTTTCTCTAAATATTTATGATTTATTTTTGTAACTGTAGATTGTGGTTATGAGTTTTTCTCTTTTAATTCATAAAGAGATGAAGATAATACGTGTAGGATGAGAAGTGCAAACAAATAAAAAAAAGAATAGTTATCGTATTCATGAATAATATAATTTCGATAAAGAAATTCTATCTTAGAGAAGAAGAAAAAGTATTATTTAAATAGTGAAAAGGACTAATTCACATGATTATAAACTGAAAAACATTATAATTAGTTGATCATAAACTTTTCTCAAGTCACCATGGGTAACCATAGCAAGCACTCGTTATAACTTCTTGTAAGTGTTTATTAGTGTATTATATATATATCCTAAACTTTTTTATGATATTTAAACTGAAATTCATAGTATTAAACCTTTTCTTAAAGTTAGTGTAATTATCTCTCATATTATTTTCTTTGGTTCAAATCTATAAAAAAGGAGTAGGAAAAAAAATTGAATGATTTGTTTAGAATGATTTATTTAGAATTTAAAAGAAAAGATATTCGGAGCATACGAACACTATAATTATTTAACTAAAATTATTAGATATACTATTAGAAAATTTGTAAAAGCTAACAAAATATATCATTGATGTATAATGCAGATTCCATAGACATTGAAAAAAACGAATGGAATCAACGATGGAACATCGTCATTGAAAAGTATCTCCTTAAGCTTTCTATTATGTCAGCAATTTCATCATCATTTATTTTCCTAACATATATTTTTCATGGCTATTTTGTTACCAAGTTGCTATTTATTTTGTAAGTTTTACAAAACATTTCAAAATTGGTGTGAGATTTTCAATGAAAATATCGATAGAATCACTAATATAATTTATCTTTTCATTGACGAGTTCCTTAAAGATTGCAATTTTTTTGTTGTCTCTTATGATCCCTAACCAAAACAATTAATGAGATAGTTCACAGTAAACAACAACCATGAAAAAAATGCATACCTGAAAAATTAATTGTACAAATTTTATAAATTAATTTAAATAGTTCACAATAATAAGATAAAAGTAATTTCATAAATAATTTTTTTCAATAAATGTAAATATGAACCACACATTAAGATTCCTGAGAAAGTGGAAGGGAAGGAGGAGAAAAATATTCTGAACTAAAAGGAATAAGAGGAGAAGGAAAATATATACTTATAGCCACACTTATTTGACCTCAGTACATTCTAATTTCATGTTAGAGTTTTGCTCTAATTTATGCCAACATAGTCTGCATCTCAATAGATAGCTATTCATAAAATTTTTCTAGATAATTTTATCAAATTCTATGCTTTATAGCTGGTGTGTCTATAACTAAAACAATGTAGTTCTCTCTAGGTTCTCAAGATAATGTCATAGACAAATCATAAAGCTGATCTATATTGAATCCATCATTTGTAATCAACGTTGGATAACTGCATGAATGGTTGACTCAATGGATATTTTGTGTGTGTTGCAATTTTTAGTTTTCTTTTAGACGTCTGTTTCTACTGTTCCTTTGCTCCTAGAGTAGTAGGAGTTCTAGTGTTGCTACGTGTAATATCTTATAAGAGTTCCAATTGGTTGGCCTCTATTGCTAGATTTCTTCAATTGCAGATTGTTTGGCTCAACTTCTAGATGTCTTTTGTTATCATATGCCTAAGCTGGGGGTCTGTCAGTGTTCATTTGTTGCTGGTGATTGTTTATCATAAGGTAAAGGGGGTTGCTATTTTGGCTAGATGTTATCCATCATTTGTTTGTGGCTACTTGTGATATCTTGTATCTATTGTTGATGTTTCTTTGTAGATGGGTGCCTCTATAAAGGTTCTACTCCATTGTGCTTAGTGATTGCTGTGATTTTTGTTACTTGTTTGATATATAGTGTGTTGGTTTTTAAGGTAGCTTTTGTGGTTGTGTTTTTTTTTTTAAAAGTATGTTTGGTTGGATTTAGATACATATTCGGTAAAAATTATGGTTAAGGTTTATATATAGCAAAAAACATGTATAAAATGTTTGGTCTAGTTGTGTTTAGAAGTGTAGTTGCGGTTGTTTTTCAAAATATTTTTTACTTGGAAATGGATCAAAATATTTTTTTTATTTTTTAAAAATTATTTTTAATATTAGCGCATCAAAATGATCTAAAAACACAAAAAAAATATTAATTTGAAGTAAAGAAAAAAATAAAAATAATTTTTTTTCAAAAGCGCTTTTAAAACGCAAAAACAAACAGAATTGAAATTCAGTTAAAAAAGCATGTAAAAGCTACTTCACAAAAACTGTATTTCAAACTTAATTTTTTAATGGGTCCCGTAGTACAAAACATAGTTTAGCTTGTTACCAAACACTTTGCTACATTTGTTGAGCTGTAAATGTAAAAACAGTTGCAAAACAAATACAATCATAGTCCAGTATTTATTCTGTTTTGGTTGTTGCTCAAGGCGTTTTCTAGTCTTGATTTTTGCTTTGTGATAAGTTGAGCACCTTATCATTGATTTGGTTCCTCATCTAATCATTGTTAGCTATTTCTTTTAGCTTGTTAGCTTTTCTTTATTGGCCTTGCTGTAAAGGTTCTATAAGGGAGTTTGTTCTCTTTTGTATATCCTTGTTATGAAATTGCTAGTTCTCTAGCATTGGATATTTTTTATTTGTTATATATACTTATCTTTTGATATAAAAAAAAGGGCAAATAATTTTTCTTTGTCTAACTCTCATCTTTTGAAAAAACAAACAAATAATAAATTCATAACCAAAACTATTAACATTACAAGAAATTAAAAAAAAAACAAAAGAAATATATAATTAACCTCAAACTAAAGCTTTGACAATCCAAGTAAATCAATTAATCTGTCAACATTGTGTCTAATATCAAATTCAATTGAACAAAAAAAATAAAAATCAAGTCTAAAGCTCAAGTAGCCGAACAAACACTAAAAGAGGTAAAAATTAATAAATAAAACCACATAAAACTTAAATCAAAATTTCAATTTCAATTTCAATTTCACTTGTATTGAAATAAAATGACATGAATATGAGTATTAAAACTTTAAACATTATATTTTATTATAGAATCTCTAGGGTTTATGTAAATACTTAGCTCAATCAATATTTAACAACAAGTACTCTTACTTAAGCATGATAAGTCTTCTTTTCTCTAACACAACCCAACCTAAGTATTTTTTTTCTTTTCATTTTCTTTTTGTTTACAACTAAAACCACAAGATTCTATCTCAATGTGTGTGTGTATTGAGATAAAAAAAAAAAATCAAACTAGCTAGCCAAGCAAACACCATCAACACTTGATTACTTCTCAAATCAAAATTTTAATTTATGTAACTTAAACAATAAAGCTTAACAATGCAACACAACCACATTCCAAACATAACAAGAATAAAACAATCCACATGCTTCATTATTAATCCCTAATACAAGCAAAAAAAAAAAACATAAGTAAATAAATTGATTAGATTCAAGCTATAGATCCAATATTAAAAACAAATGAAAAAAGATGGCATACTAGGCAACTTTTTAGGATCCCACTTGTATTGTCAAAGAAGAAGAAGAACCTTAATTTTGTAAAAACAAAGAAGAATAAAAAGAAAAAAGGATTGTCGGGTTTTGATTCCTTTTAAAATCACTAATTAAAATTGATACATTAGAAATGCTGACAAAATAATTTTTATTTTTTTATTCCATCACTATTTCCATTAGGACTTACTGATGAAAAGATTTTCATCTTAATTTCCATATGTAAATAGCAATGAAATATTTTTTCTTATTATTTTCATTAATTTTTTTAAATTTTTTATTAGCGATAATGTTTAGTTACTATTTTAAAATAAAAGAGGTGAAAACAATAAAAATAAAGGAAACATGTCTTTTTATACTTTTGTTTTGAAAATACTGAAATTCAATACAAAATTATCCTAGAAATATATTTATTTTATGCTTCTATATTTGTTTCTTCAATCAAACACTTTTCTAGTTTTTTATCCTATATTATATCAGTAGTGTTTTTAGGTCCAATTCAACATCTACTTTATTTTTTTTAAAACAAATAAATAAAATAAAAACAATAAAATGAGGTCCA